ATGTAGGCAGGGATCGCCAGTGTTCAGAGGATACTAGGAAGCATCGCTCTGACATTTTCCCATATTCGGAGTTTGAAGACAGCATGACACTTACCATGGGACATTTACCTTTCCAAGTGAAAGAAGGTTATCCTGGCTCTGCACATGAGAGATAAGACAGCCATCAGAAATTATCCTTTTTTTGTGGCCAGTTTCCTGCAGGTGCGTTTAAGTCCAGAGTCCAGAATTTATGAGATATACAATTTTTCAACTAGATGCAAAACTGAATATCATTTCATTTCAAACAGTGTTGCTAAAATAATGTCAATGGCAGGGATTTGCTTGCATATATGTATATATGAGGAAATATATGTAATATATTCGTACTTGTAAAGTTGATGGTAGTTTGCCTATTCTTAAAACATTCATCCTAAAACACTGTTTAATCTCCAATATGTAAATATGAAGCTTTGGGGAAATGCATGAAAATGTCAGGATTGTTATTTTTATTTTTTTATGCCTGCTTTCTTTTAATTTTTGGCAACAGCACGTATCAATTTTTATAATTAGAACAAAAGGAAGTCTATTTTTAAAATTCATATATTAGATAATTTGGGGTTAGCAGTAATGTTTAGTATTGTAGTCTTTTACTTTTCCCCTAATTTACTATTTTTCCATTTCTTCTTTTGAATATCTCTAAGGAAGACACTCTGGATTATTGTTGATAGATTAAGAATAATAAACATAATTTCTAAATTACAGTCTCCATAATAGCAGTAATAGAATCTGTAACTAGAAAATTGCTTATTGGAATTGCATACTTTAAGTATTTCGTGCACCCAAAATTAATCTTGGGAAAATCCTAGCAAAGATGTCATTTAATAGCATTGAGTTAACATTTAATAAGAATTAGAGTGATGCTACAGCTTATAACCCCAATAAGATCTACAGAATAAAAAGAAGTGTATATACATGAAATCTGTAGGTTAGTTTTCCGCAAAGATAAAAGGAACAAAAACATTTGTTCCCAGTATGCTCATGAGTGAAGTTATGGATGACTGAGTCTTACTGACCATTACACACTGAAGAAAACATTGTTCAAAAAGTTTACTTAGATCCAGACTCTGTGATTATACTGAGAAGTGACTGCTTCTCAAAACTTAAATGATATAAAATAAATAAATAAATAAATAAAATAAAAACTTAAGTGATATAAACAACCTGCCCTTATGGCCATCAGTGAGGGGGACGTGGGAGAGAAGGAAGCACACAGGCTGGGAGGCAGCTCAGCCACATGCTAGCTTTGAGGCCGTGGCTAAATCACACCATCTCTGAGCCTCACTATCTACCTAGCAAAGATATTTTGTACCCCACAGAGCTTTCATGAAATCATATAAATAAAAATAAGTAAAACAGCTAGCCAGAGTGCCTAGCACATAGCAGCTTCTCCAAATAATTTAGTTCCCCTCCCTATGAGACCAGCCTGCAGCCAATACCTTCTCATCCAAAGACATCTGGTAACTTCACAGCCTGAGAAGATCCTGTGATTTCAGTACTTTGTATTCTGTTGTTTATATACTATATTAACAGAGAAAAGTGAGCCAAAATTGGGTTTTCTTAATAAATGTTAGTATCACTCACTATACTACCTGTGTTTCATTCATTTATGCCTGGTCTTATAATGGAAGTTAATAAAAAGATTATTTTCAAGAATTATTATTTGTTAGAACAGCTATCATTTTATATATTTCACTGGTGAGGAAACAAAATGATAAAAGAAATCAAGAAGTATTGAAGAATTTCCTACAGCAAATCACCAAGAAAAATGGAAATTTCTCCATATGGTGATGTTTTCCAAACAGTCAAAACCATCTCAAGAAATTCAATAAGGAAGTGGGGAAAGGTGATTGTGAAGTATTACTTGGAAAGAAAATGGCTGAAATAAATTCCTGGCGGGTGTCCCAATGTGACAATCGACTTGTAATGTTTCTCTGTTCTTTTCTGTTGTTACTAAGAATTACATAGAAGCATACAGGCTTGATGGAATCTAAATCCACTTATATGCTTGAGCGTGTATTTCATTGTTGCCGTCTCTGTGTTGTTTCAGATAATAAATTAATACTGAGTCTTTGGTGTGGTTATATTTAGAAAATCGAGCTTGAAGTCTGGATAATTATGCACATATAGTTGTTACAATGTATTAAGCCACTGACTTCAAAAAGGAAAAAACTTGCATGGGTTGTATTACTGTCGGCCCTACAGAGCTGCTGATAAGCAAAAGTTGTATAGTTCCATGAATTGGCAAATCAATTATCAGCCAGGTTCTGAATTCTAGAAGTGTTACCCCACAAGATAAATGGACAAGTCAGAAATAACAGCTTGATTTTAAGATACTAGGTGGACGTGGCAATATGGTCTAAGGGAAATCTTGCTTTGGTATATGAGTGTATTCATTTGATTTGGCAGTGGTTTTAGACACTATATCTGGAACCATGGAGATGTCATTGTGGCAGACCTTCCCCTTCTGTTCTCAGACTGTACCACACTTGTAAAACAGCGAGGCTCATGGGGTAATAACTCAAAAGCCAAAAGGCTATAAAGAAAAAAATTTGCTAGCAGGCACTAACATGGGTGTCATGACTCTTTTCAGGTAGTAGGTGTAACCTTGAAGAAAAAGTGGCACTGTCTTCAAAAAAGTGACCTGACCCTGGCTTTGGTGGGTTTTTCTGCAAGAAATAAAAAGCACCGCATGTGTTTATTATACATCCTTTCTAGCTGACCACTGCTTTGTTCTAGAGTTCAGCATGAAAGGACTAATTTTTGTTTTGTTTTTGTTTTTTGTTTTAGTGAAATGGCATGTCCGTTGCTAATTCTAGCTACAATAGTTGCACATGTGAAAAATATCTATATATAGTTTATGATTGGTAGCATTTCAAATAAATGGTATATTGAAATATTGACCTGAAATTTTTTGAGATGCTTATCAATTGACATTTTTTTCTTAGCCCGAGAACAGATTCTGAATTATTATTATTATTATAAAATTATACCTTGTAATATTAGATTTGTTCTTTTAAATATATTAGGAATTAAATATAAGCATGCCACTTTGTTTATTGCTATATTATTAGAACTTCTTGGAGCATGGAAAGAATTCTTCACAAATGATTTTGCTCTTTTTCAAAAAATAAGCTGCAAAGAAATTTGTTAAACTATATTTAGTCTATAAATGAGCGTAGCTTTTAAAGCTTTATCACTTTATAGTATGTAATGTCTCATCCAAATAATTTTTATATTTTGAAAAAATGTTAAATAGTTTCATAGTGCCATAATAAATATTTCCCCAGAATTCAGAATTGTATGCATCTCTGTTTTAAGAGGTTCACATTGCTTCATAAAGAAAAAACTTGGGATCGTTACGCACCCCAACTTGTTATGCAGTAGATCATTGTTTTTCTTTATTTTTCCAGAAGTCAGTTATTCTAAGAATTGTGGCCATATACACTTTTCAGAACACAAATGGAAATTACTATGTTATATGTGCTAAATAAAAGCTCAGTAGTTGATATTCCATCGTGGAGATAACACATTATCATTCAATAATGCGAGTTTTGTTGAGTCAAAATAAACCAAAGAAACTTTCAGCATCGTAAAGAGATTCACACATTTTAAAATCTAGTAACTATAGAGAAAGTGTTTCTTTGTTTTCATTAAAAAAAACCTGCCACTCATTACATTTTAGAAAGTCAATGCCAGAGAAAATAGACAGTTTTGCTTTCTAGAATAAACCTACCTTCTAAATACTTAAATCCCTGTGGGAGCCCAAGATCATAATGTAATTCCATCCTTTTTTGCTGCATGGAAACTATTAAGATTTATCAATCTCTGGAGTTAATATTGACCCTAGCTCTTAATTCCCTTTCAGTTAACAAGCCCCCATATGTCCATTTTTGTATCTTTGCCTATGATATCCCTATATGCTACATTTGTATTTTAAGTAGATTTACAACACAGAGGCTTATATGTGCTCTTAGTATAAACTTAGTTTCTCTAAGGAGGCTTTGCCCAGAGACCTGAGGAAATGGAAGTTTTGTTTTTAAAATGTTTAAAGATTATTTAATTTTTACATAGTATAAGATGTTTCTAATTGGGTTGGGAAGGTGATATTTTGTTTTGTTTTTTCCATTATGCCACATCTACTCACAAAAACTTAATAATTTGGTAAACTAAAAAGACAGATAGCCAGCATACCCCTTTACAGTCCCAAATTATGCTTGTATGATACAAAAAAAATGGGATATATAATCAGTGCTTCAATTATTAATCATCCTTTATTTATACCTAGATTTTTGGGATTCTCCAATTAAAAGGCATTTCTAAAACTCTACTAAAATTTTTTTGGTCTCAGAAACATTGAGAGTTGAAAAATTTTTCACCAAGGTCATATCATCTCCACAAAATACACAAGCTGGGTGAATTTCTGGGATGTTAGGCCACTGAAGGATTTTTAGAGGTTTTATGACACTTTTACTCTTTTTATGCCCGATCCACTCAAAAATGACCGACTCCAGGGACCACCCAGCAATATCCGTCTGTGGGAGTCAGACACTGATCCTGACCCCTATCTCAGACTCCTCAGTGTCATGCAAAACACTTAAGTATGTTATAGGAACAGTTAGTAAATGAGCATAATAGGCAATCCATAGTGTTTTTAAATCGATACTAAAAAATTATGTTCATGTCATGTAAATTGCCTTAAAATATATTATACATATAAAATACTATGTTAAAATTAAATATAATATGTCAGCTGTAAAGGTGAAAAATTAGCTAACTAAAAGTTCACAAATAATCTCTTTTCAGATTTTGTGTGTTTTCTCCTCAGCCAAAAGCCTCAAGATTCACTTGCAGCAGCCTACCTCTTCATTTATGTTGGATTGCTCTTTAAACATTAGAATATCTTGTAATAATAAGTTAAAGATTTCTCCTGACACAAGTCATTGTTGATTTCACTGTTATAGGGAAAAGGCTCTAGGGCGGCAGATAAGGCTGTTGCCATGGTGATGAAGGAGATACCGAGGGAGGAGTCTGCTGAAGAAAAGCCCCTCCTTACTATGACATCACAGGTGGGCAGACCCATAGGGTTCCTGTAGGAAGCTGACATATGTTAATATATCAGACATTGTGATTTTTAACTAGAAAAAAAAAAAAAACATTAACTTGAACCAATTTTTAAAAAACACAGTTTCAATGAAACAATTATACAATATAAAATGAAAACCAAAATTGCTAAAAAAAAAAGGAAAATTCCATCATTTAGTTATTTGTGGATATTAATTTTCATTACTCAACTTTAGTTTTAAAAAAAAATGTATGTGCAAGTAAACCATGTTGCTTCTTTATAAAGGAATCTTGTTAACAACTTTGGGAAAGAAATAACAATTAAGCTAATGGTACATTTGAACAACAACAACCAAAAAAAAAAAAAAATCAAATTCCTGTGAATAAATACAAGTTCTATTGTATACATATGTCAGTTTACCAGTAGAATATCTAAATTTTCTTAAATGTTAAATATATTTATGTTGTGACTATGCATACTACATATATGTCTATACATATTTATGTGGATAACTAATTTACAGGAATGAGCCAGAAGTCCCTGAGTCCCCATGCAGAAAATGGCATTTGTGACCCCTCTTATACTTAGTGACCTTGACAACAAAAATATCATCTCTATTATAAAGCGCATGAGAGCCATTTTCAGCATTTATTATAACAAAGATAGAAAAAAGTTTGCATTTGTATGCAAAGACACGCTGAGACTGTGAATCCTGTATGTCCTCAGGGACTTTTGAAACACCCTGTAAAATCCACATAAATATGTATAATATACTCATCACCACTCTGTGGAACTATCAGTTTTAAATTCTTAAATGAAAAATATTTTTACTTGCATTTATCTTATAATTTAGATTAGATTGTTATCTTAAACATTTTTTTCTCTATAATGCAATAGTAAATGCAGTGATTCAGTTCCAATTATATGAACATGTCTAGAATTAGAAACATGTCCATTTACAGTCCTCATGAAAGGCATTTATATCAAAAGCTAAATTATGGCAACTTATTTTTAGAATATCATCAGATCACATCCCCAGCTGCTGCCAACATGTGTGGTTTTATTTTATTCTAAACACTGTGTTGTAAGTAATGAAAATCATAACAACATACAACAATCAAAATTGAATAATAAAAAAGTTATCAAAGATTCCTAGGACTTTGGGATAAATTTTATATTGTGAGTTTTTTATCCATAAGGAAGAGAGGCTTCTTTCCAATCACACACAGTAGTAGTTAGAAAGAAATTTGCTTTATATATACCAAGGTCTCCGTTCTTTACTTAATTTACGTAGTAAAACATATACAGTTTTACATTGATCTCCTGCCCTTTGTAGAATCCATGTCCAAAATATTCAGCTCACAGTTCCTCAGGTAAATGCTATGGGAGGTGAGAACTAGCTGGGAGTCCTTGGTAATGACAGCCGTGTTCATCAGTAGATAAGAGCTACCCAGATTTGCCATTGGCATAGTTGTGCTATAACATATCATTCAGAATATCACAAGTTAGGACAGGTTCCAGTACCCAAAATTCTTTTCTCTAAACCATGCATTGCTCTGTGCTTTCCAGTAATCCCTTTCAAAGGTCCAAAATTGCCATTATAACCTAAGCTTGAATTTAAAAAATAATGCAAAATATTATTTTTGATTTTTTAACTTAGAAAAGAAATTGTGATTATTACCATTTTTCATATTCAGAACATTTGTGTGTAGCAAGTTCCTTCTTTAATCCCCATCTAATGTTGCATTGACTATTTTTGAGGTACGAGTTACAATTTTACTGCATGAAGATTATGTAATGCTTTCTTTGATGCATCCTATTCTTGTTGCGTACTGGCTAGTTTATGAATCAGCAAACAGAGTTCTGATTCATAAAATGCAATGCACCTGTTGTGTTGATAATTTTATGGAACTAATTCAGTGACAGCTGTGATACAGTGATTTCTCAGTCAAATGACACTTTATTAGTTGACATACTTTTTCCACTGTATACACGTGGCTTCTTCCCTACTATGCACCAGTGGTGTGCACAAGCCAAAAAGCAGCAGAATGATCCAAAAAAGTGAGTACTCCTCATAGCAACCATAGCATCCAATCTGTGTACCATACCACATTCTTACCTGTTATCCTGTGTGAATGTATCAGTGTCTTGAAATATGTTTGTCCCAGCATCTCCTGTAAAGCCCCTTATGACATGGCGCTACATACAACTGAATACATTGACTCATCTTCATCACTGGTACGTCGATGCCAGTGGCTCATTCATAGATTCCAGATATGTCCGAAGCTCATTGCTGCTCTCTCAATAATGTCCTTAGGAAAATCATAACTGGTTAAATACGAAACCAGTTCTTGAAACCCTGGGTCGCCAACTCATTTAATAACTGTGTTCAGTCAACAGGTTATAAGTGTAGAATAGTTTATATTGAAGCATTTTTTTTGTATTATATGATGATTACAATCACTTTCAGAGGGATTGACCCAAACATGCTCCAGTGAAGTCATTTATAGTCCACTGAACGAATTGAACTAAAACAGAAGAGTTGGCTGGGGGACCTGAATTCAGAAATTTCTGGGCCCCTGAAAGTTGCTTTTTGTTTAATTTAATTATTAATTCTATATTAACAAACAATATGTCAAGCACTTCATAGAAGCTCGGGTTCATGCTGTCCTAGACTAACACTTTAAGACAAGCGTATGAAAACAAGAGTGCATTGATGAAAGGTCTGAAGGAAAAATAGTATGCCCTCAAGTCTTTGGGGGAAAAAGTTTCTCTAGGCCTGGGCTGTCCAACACAGGAGCAGCTGGTCATACGTGGCTATTGAGAGCTTTGTGGGTCCCCACAACTGAGATGGGCTCAACGTATAAAATACACACCTGATTTTGAAGATTTAGCCCCAAGAAAAGGAATATAAACTATGGCATTAATAATGTTTACATTGATTACATGTTGAAATGATCATTTTTGGATACATTGGGCAAAAAAAAAAATACATTCTTAAAATTCTTTTTCAACTGTTTCTTTTCCATTTTTTTGTAAGTGGCTACTAGAAAATTTTAAATTATCAGTTTCTCATGGTAGTTCTATTGTACAGCATAAAGACTGTAATAATATAAGTTAATCCAACTTGAAGATAGAAGGAACAACTATGTGCCAAAGGATTGATTATATCATTAAAAAAATTATTCTTCTTTATGAGAATAAAATTATGTTAGCAAATATTTTTTTTCTCATAAGGAACCATCAAAAGTTTCCATTTTAACCACCTCCCCTGGTAGGTGGGTTTTTTCTAGCAAGATATATATCATTCATTTTTTTGCTGTAGAGCACCGTATCTTAAAACTGTTTCAGATGTCTTCTTGCTAAGGGAATTTTTTTTTTTTTTTTTTTTTTTCAAACTCAGCCTTGTGTTTTTATCTGTCCCCACTCCTTATACCTTGATACTGAAATTATTTTTGTGTCTGATAAACATAAAAAGAATAACGACCTTGACTGGAAAAACATTCTCAAGGCTACTAAATATAGCCTTGCTTGGATTTCTATGACCAACCTGAAACAATTGCTTTATGTTCTCCTGCCTGCCACAGTGTTAGTACTACCCAAGCTGTAAACAGTAATATCTGTTCATTTCCCCATGAAGAGATTCACATTTTTTAAGTCTAACTTTTCTGTCAAGAAAATAGAGTCGATAGACATTTAGATCAAGTCAAAGAGTTGAAAGTGATTGCGTGTCTATCCTTCACTAGAAGCCCCCCTGGGACCCATGTGTAGGAACTGGGGTGGAGGGAGGGAAGCAGAGCAGAACCATTAGTACTATTACCAGCTCACAAGAAATTAATTCTCTCGGGTGTCAGAGTCTACTATGACAAAACTCTCAAAGTCTGAATACTTAAAGGAGGGCGTGCTAATGATTTAGTCAGTCGTCTCGTCTTTTCAATGGATTGAGTCAGTTAACAAAACTCATCATTAGTTTTGATAGGGTCACTATTTTGATGGGCATCGCACAAATTTCTAAACTTGCAGAGGACTAATAAAGCCACAAACAAGTAGTGCAATTACAAAATTATGGATGAAAACCTACTTAAAAATGACACATACTTTAATCAACAATGTCACAAGTAATAAGGGAATTTTCAAAATGCATTAAAATGTACCTATTAAAATCATATTTATATTTTACATAGAAAAAATCTTAATTTTTTTCTATTATTTAGATGAGGTAAGAGACATGGTAAATTATTACAAATTTTTTAAGTCAACAGTTCAGCTATGAGATACTTGTCAACTGTTTTTCAACTTACTAGCTTCAGTGTTTTAACTTTTTAAAATTATTTTTTAAGTACTAAAATGTTTAAAAATAAACACAGAATATTTTACTTTAAACTAAAACAACAGTTTGAGATCATCAACCTGAAGTGTAAAAGAATGGGATAATGGATTATTACCATTGACAGACCTTGTTTTATCATGTAAAATGTATTTTGGTTTGGAGTTAATTCTTAGTGGTAGAGGTTATCACAAACCCTTAGCTCTGTATTTTTTAATGAAACACCTAAGCAATACATTGTTTAAAGGTAAATAAACTTAGATTGAAGTCACAAAACAAACTATATAAACATACACTGGAGTTTAAGTAACAGGCAGTATTTAAAGGCAAAATATTCTACTTTCATCTTGGTTAAATATTCCCCTGTAGCTTAGATGACATAATAATGTAATTTTTTAACACTGAAATTAGAGAAATTCAAGTTGAACTAAGGCAAATGCATTTTTAGATAAAGTTTTAAAATAGACAATAATTTATTAAAGCTGGATGTGATCGTCTGCATTTCTGCTCAATACTAAACACAGTACTGATAATAAAATAAGAACCAATTTGGTCATATGGTGGCTAATATTAGCCACCACTGTCTAAGTCATAAGTAAATTCAAGGCATTTGACTGAATATTTCATTCACATCCTATGATTACAAGGAAAGTGTAAAGGTTCAATAGTCTGTTGAATTCTCCGTGACCAGGAAACCCCTCCATGTAAGTGCTCAACTGTCTTTTTACTCCTGAGGTTTCCTTTTGTTTCCATGCCCACTGACTGTGTAAGGGTTTTCCCTCGAAGTCTTCAAATTTGGATCTCTGATTTAAAATCCCTGAGTGAGGTAGTAGTGTTGTTTTGAAGTGTCACTGGCCTCCCATATACCTTGGTCCATTTCCTCTTCCAAGGGTGGCGTAAGGCAGACCTATGCCCTTATTTTTCTCATTAGGCCTTCACTCTTTGCATCCTTGACTGTTTGGTAGAAGCCTGGCATTTGGAAATGAACCTTTAGTAACTCTAGTTTTCCAAATTTTTAAATGATGTGACGCTGGGGGAAAATGGGCTTAGATTTATGGTTTAAAGCCTGCCAGGGAATTGGTAAACATTTCTGAGGACCACTGGCCTCTCAGTGAATTGATCAAACCCAGTATGAAATTTAGGATGCTCCAATTCTTTTGTACAATTTAGCATTCAGTTTGACAATAAATCAGTCAATATTTATTAAACTGCTGCTATGAGATACAAAAGTTAACTGGATAAGATCTGTACCCTCAAAGAGGTGATAGTCTAGTAGGGGAAAAACAGGTAACACTAAAGTCTAAGACTGGATAAAACCTGGGAACGTGGAGATGCTGTTAAGAAGGCCCTCACTGCCTAGTGCTGAAGAAGGTTCCCAGACGATGTGCCAATGGAATGGGGTTCTGGAAGAGGAGTAAGAATCTGTCACCATTAGAAAGGCTTGAACTGACTTAAATATTGAGAGGAGGAACAGAGGAGGATAAGAAATGAAAATTTTAAATGTAAACAAAGTGAGGAGACAAAGGCCCTACAAACTAATGAAGTGGGTCATTTTAATTCAGATATGATAATCTGATTGATCCAAATTGCAACCATTCTAACTTAATTATTTAAAAAAGTGGCAACATTTTGACTCACCTTTTATTATTTTTATAACATCAATATACTCTGTACTCAAAGGGTGAAATGAGGTAAGTTCATAAAGCATTTTCAAACTGAAGGAAGTAATTCTAAGAGAAAGTCAATAAGTCATATCCTACCACTGAATAAGGAGAGAATAAATGGCATACAATTTGGAAGCAAAGCTGAGGGGAACACTTTGGGGGATTCGTTCAGTTTGCAATTGTCCTTTATGACCTAAAAGATTTATTTATTCTCCAGTCACCATAGGAAAACCATAAATTTGTTTGAAAATGAGGAGGGGGCCATGTGAAAAGTTATTCCTATCTATACAAATAAAAATAAAATGAGACTTAGTCTGGCTAAAATAATGATTCCCAAACTCATCCACCTGAAGACACAATTCAAAATTGGAATGTTTGAGATAGATATTTTTATATCCTCAGTTTCTGCAAAGTCACTGTCCCATTCGGTAGGCCTTTATTGATCCCCTCTTATATGAAAACATTCTGTTCGAAGTTGTGAAGGATATAAGTATGAGTAAGACCTAGTCTCTGACCTCAGAGCTTATAAGAAAAGGTTTCATGATATTTCTTGTTTCATCTTCCATATTTCCATCAAAACCAAAAAACTTTCAGTTCCCGAATTAGCTTTCCATGATTTCTGAAATCTGACCCTTCATCTTTCTCACCCCAGAGACCTGCCACCATCCCCCACGCCAACCCCAGCATTTCCCAACAGACTGTGTGAAAAACACGGACTCAGAAAGTAGTTTGCTATTTCGCCTTTGATCTGTAACTATGTAAGAAAGCCACAGAAACAGCTCAGTTATGGGAATTGGGCAGACCTAACAACTCCCTCGGTCTAGGAGTGACGTGTGCTGGGAAACTAGACAGTAGGTGTGGAAGAGACGCAGGCCTTATGAGGCAGAGGAGAAGCCGTGCCTCAGTCCTGGGCTCCCAAGGGTCCCTCTGAACAACCTTCTCTTTAGTATGTCTTTCTTCCTGTGCTGAGAAAATCTGAGAATGCTACATGTGCTTTCTCCAGAAAATAAGTCTGAAGTTTCATGAAGAGAGAGGCTCCAAAGAAATCCTATTGCCTTTGACAGACCTGCCTAAAAAGACAAGGCCTCTCAATGAACTGTGCCTTTTCCCTTGTCTTTCCATTTAGATGTCTATGTCGACAAGGGCCCTTCTAGAAATCTTTTATCAAATTCAGACTATAATTTTTTAGTGTTTACAACTAAAATTATCTGTAGAGATCTAACACCCTGGTCTTCTAAAACTATAGCTAATTTAGGCCCGTTGTGCATATCTACTCTGTGATATAGGAATAAATTATTAGTCCCTGTTTTTACAAAGGAATTTAAGAATATCCAAAATGAAGAAACAAATAAAGAAAATAAGACTTAATTTTCATTTTATGCTTCTGTCAAAATACTGCCTTACAAATCTGGAGATTTTTAAGGCACATCTTTTTCTTAGAACAAGTAGAAAACTAGATGGCTATGACCATTTTAAGAAAGGCTAATCTAAAAGCTCCTGAAAAACTAAGACAGTTAATTTAGGAATTAACCACTTGCATATCATGAGTATAGTTCTTCCCTTAACCATGGAAACAGGACCTAAGGAAGTCTGGATTCTAAGAGATGCAAAGTAACTGAAAGTAAATAATTCGCTGCCACTGATAACTAGAGACCAACCAAAAATTGCACTGAAGGATTTCTGAAATTAGAGAACAAGCCAATGGGACAAGACAACTGAATTGATAGAAATCTATTTTATGTATAGATTTTCAGAAATATATCTACTGGATACCTGTACAGGTAATATAAGTATTTCCTACTCTCCCCAAATAATGCTAGTCATGCACCACAAAAGCATCCCAAGGAAATGTAAGGAAGGATATGTGCCCATAGATGACTTGAGCTTTTTAAGAGAGGGAGGAGAGGAGAACATTTATCCACATACATACAGATCTGTGTGTGTGCACTTAATCACATAACGCTGACTGCCCACCCTAACCAGAATGTGTCACCTCAACGTCTGAGGCCACTCCTCCGGGTCTCAATAATATTTTGTCCATGTAAACAGTAGGAACTGTGATGCAAGAGGTGTCATTTTCTACCTATTGAAATTTAGAGAATAATTCTAAAATGGTTCTAGGAGAAAAAAAAAAGGCTTGAGCTTTAAAAACTGAAGTTGGCTGCATCAAAAATATGTTGACAGTGCTAAAAGGCTCATTCCCCATCCCTTAGTATTTTTTTTCTTTCTTGCCCCTCCTTATTTAATTTATTTATTTATTTATTTATTTATTTATTGGTAGGCTTGCTATTCTCATTTTGTTGCAAGGCTGCACTGTAATTCATCTGATTCTGCAGTTTAACAAAGCCCTTTGATACCTGTGTTCATTTGTTCTCAGCTGGTGAATGAGCAGCAAGAAAGCAGACCCCTCTTGAGTCCCTCCATCGATGACTTTCTCTGTGAAACCAAATCGGAGGCAATAGCAAGGCCAGTAACATCCAACACAGCCGGTAATTCTTTCACTTTTAACTGATCCTCAAGTAGAGCTAATTTTCACTACAGTGAAATGCATATTTTCTCTCTGTAATGCGTCTTAAGTGTAGAATAATGTTTGCAACCAAACGAAAGTTGAGGACATACATTTCACATAAACTAATACATCGCTTTGTATTCTACAAGAACCCGGAATGTATTTTATCCAACCAACTTGGCTGAACAATAGTGCATCACTATCAACAATGAATCATTTCTCTATGCATATTTACATCTTTGCATCTCAAGTCACATTACAAGGAATCTTTCAACCAAAAGCATCTATTTCAGAGTAAGGTTTTTCAAAGTTCTGGCTGAAAATATTCTGTCTGACCAGAGACCAGTAAAATAAAAATGTAGGCAGCCCCTTTGAGTGGATTGAAATGACCAAATTAAAAGTCCTAGAGATTGGAAATGTTATAGAGCCAATTTCATTTTTCTGTCATGTAAATGTGTTACTTGTTTCCTCTTAAGACAATTTATTTGATTGGGCACCTGGGTGGCTCAGTCAGTTAAGCGTCTGCCTTCGGTTCAGGTCATGATCCCAGCGCCTGGGACCAAGCCCCGCATCGCATCGGGGTCTGTGCTCAGCAGGGAGCCTGCTTCTCCCTTTCCCACTGCCTGTCTGTCTGCCTACTTGTGCTCTCTCTCTCCCTCTGTCAAATAAATAAATAAAATCTTAAAAAACAAAGACAATTCATTTGAATGTTCTTCTGGAATTCAACCTACCCAAATAGTGAACTCTCATCTGTATAGGCACGTACCTGTAGGCACTAGTAAGTATTCATCCAGTGAATGGATGCAGGATGCCACTGGGATGAATCATACCTCCCCTAGTCCCCTCTGCATTTTCCAATTCTCACTGATGCTAAAACTAAGTCACTTAGTCAGGGTTCACCCTGACGGAGCTACATAAGATCTGACGCAAACACTACTTTTCACCTTCTGTATCAGAGGCAGCCTTTCTGCATTGATTTTATTCAGTCAGCGTTCACATTCAAAGGCATGTTGTTCAAATAAGGATGAAAAAATGCTGTTCGGAGTCAAAGAACAAAGGCTATGTTGGATTGCAGGAGAGGGTTTAATGGAGAAAGGAGAGAACGATTATGTACTGTCTTGTTCAGCGCATTCCATATCCCCATCATGTCCTCAGCTTGCTGTTGCCTGCTATATTTTCATTATACTTTTAAGTAAGTGAAAAAAATCACGGGGGGGGGTGGGAAGGAATTGTAATTTTTTTCTTAAATGCTAAAAATTACAACAGCAAAAGTAACTAACACAAGATAGAGGCAGTTAATGCAGGAGTGTAGTCTATGGTCTCTGGGGTCAAACTTGGCAACGTCAATCCCCAGCTGTGCCACTTAGTGGCTTTTGTCCTCGGGCAAGTTGCTTAACTAAGTCTGTTTCCTCATCTACAATAGCAACATCTATATCTCATGGGTTACTTGGGAAGATGAAATGAAGCAATCTATGTAAGCTCTAACAGATGTTACCATTACTGTTAGATATCAGGTTACAAAAACAGTATACCCAGCACTTCCCTTTTCAGATGCATTAACTTTCTTTCTACCACACAAAAGCAATCATTTCCTAAATTCATCTCTCACTTTGAGCGATCAAGCAAATAAAATTGTATTTTGTACATTTAAGCAGGAAATTAACCAAGTTCAGATCCTACCAGATCAGATTTATCCCCCTTATCTATGAAACTGGAGCTCACCCCTCCAAAACTGGAGAGCTACCCTTAGAAAAATACAGAAGAGACTTGTATCTCTAATTTCAGGAAAATCCATGAGAATTGGATACACGGAGAAGTTCCCACTGTTCAAAAAAAAAAAGTTGCAAAGCATAGAATTCTCAGATCTTGATTCCCGTACCTTCTGCACTTTCCAACTCCCACTGATGTTAAAACTAAATCATTTAAGAAGGGCCTACCAGAAAGAGCAACATGATACTTGATTCAAAGTCGCTTTTCACCTTGATTTTTCTAACATATAAAAGAGACTTACAAAATACTGGAGGAAAAAATTTAAAAGAATATGTCATTTTTTTTATGATTGCAATACTACAGAATTGCCTTCTGTATTCATTTTCTAGGCTTTCGTGACAAAATACCACAAACTGAGTGGATTATACAACAGAAATTTATTGTCTTACAATTCTGGAAGCTAGAAGGCCAAAATTAAGGTGTCAGCAGGGCCGTTCTCTCTCTGAAGGTGCTCAGGAAGAAACTGTCCTAGGCCTCTTTCCTAGTTTCTGGTAGTCCCTTGGCTTGTGGCAGTATGACTCCAATCTTCATATGACATTCTCCCTGTGTGCATGTCTTCTTGTGTGTGTCTGTCTCTTTATCCAAATTTCCCTTTTTCATAAGGACACCCGCCATATTGGATTAGGCACCTACTCCAATATGACTCATCTTAACTAATTCTATTTCCAACAGCCCTATTTCTAAATAAAGTCACATCCCAAGGTACTAGAGGGTTAAGACTTCAACAAATGAATTATGGGGGGGAACACAGTTCAGTCCACAACACCCTCCAAAGCAGAGGTTCAACAAAAATGGTATTTTGAGACTGTCCTCAGCACTCAGTACATCTGGGTCACACAGATTTTTATCCTGAAGGAATACTCTTGTTTGATAGTGTTTTTTAATCTTAAAAGTATATCTCAAGGCACAAACACTATATATTTTTAATACCTAAGAAATATACTTTTTAAAAAATATTACAGAACCCACTACTTGGTATCTCAATATGCAACATTATTATACATCTTTAAACAGGAAAAATTTTATCATACATATACCTTGGAAAGAATTCCAATCTGGTCCAATAATTTTATAGCTAAGGTTTCTGGACAAAAGATATAGTTACCATTTTCTGTCCAAATTTTTAATAAAAAAATAGTAATTTTAAATAGAGCATTGTCATTTCATAGAATAGTTTGAAATTACATTGAGAAATCAGGACAGCCATTGAACTTTAAGTGTCTGTTACATCCCAGGTATTATTTATATCTCTACACTTACAGAATGGATATTAAACAATCTTGGAGTAAAATATGGAAGAAAACCTGCTTCAAGTTTGTACCAGATCAATCAAGAAGAAATTTGAAGAACCTTATGTTAAGAGAGGCATTTATACTTGGCATTTTCTTCTAATGAAAAAATAAAGCTAATGTGCCACCATCATAACATTTACTTAAATATTTAAGGAATATAGCTCTTATATAAATTAGCACAGAATGCAATATAGATAATATTTATCTATATTTATCTAATGTCACTCAGCTGATAGGGTTTTTTCCTCTACTGACTTTAAGAGAACATATCAATCTTCTGTCTCATAGAAGTTCTAAATTATAATCTTTCTCTTAAGTATTTTAATTATCTTTTTTACTTTCTGCTCGTTTCTTCTTTAGGATTAACTTTTTGTCCTCCCATAATGATAATATCAAGCAGATCAAATAAGGATGTTTTTAATCTCTTTGCCATTAACACCCTAAATTATCTTTTAATTCATCTGTAATCTAGATGATAGCTAATTCCTTGACCCTCTCAGACTGTATCCCTAGATGGTAGGTAGGCTAAAATCATTGCTAATATCCTTGATTTTAAAATGACAAAAAGTATATATTATCACAGATGCATATATCAAATGCTCAGAACGTTACTAAACAATGGATGTTTTAAGATCATGATTACATTATAGGACAACTATTTACTATAAAATTTGCAATAATAACTTGTTGGTCTGTAATCTCCCAAAAAATCTAACATATGTCAAAGTACAGGAAAGATTCTTTCCTAAAGACCAAGTAGAACAGGAGGTCCTTGGTTTGTATTTATCAATCTGTATGATCTAAAAGAATTTTATCCCTCAACTTGAGCCATTAGGTGGATAGTTACTATAGAAGAAACATTTTTCATGGTTTAAAAAAATAATAATTTCACTCCTTGATATGGGACCTGAATACCTCTATAAGAGACCCATATATGGATGGGAAGAGCTACCCTTAACAAAGTTCACACTCCTGTCACAGCCACCTAATTAAATATTTTAATTGCAAAATTAGTGTAATATTGGGGCGCCTGGGTGGCTCAGTCGGTTAAGCGGCTGCCTTTGGCTCAGGTCATGATCCCAGGGTCCTGGGATTGAGCCCCGCATCGGCCTCCTTGCTCAGTGGGGAGCCTGCTTCTCCCTCTGCCTCTGCCTGCCGCTCCCCCTGCTTGTGCTCTCTCTCTCACTCTCTCTCTCTCTCTGTGTCAAATAAAAATAAATAAAATCTTTAAAAAAAATTAGTGTAATATTTACAAAATACATTTTTATGAAGCCCAAGTAGCAGTGAAGCCAATGGCATGCTTCTTGAGAGAACTTAGAAATTGGGAAGTAGCTTGGGGCGCCTGGGTGTCTCAGTCGGTTAAGGGTCCACCTTCGGCTCAGGTCATGGTCCCAGGGTCCTGGGATCGAGCCCCACATTGGGCTCCCTGCTCAGTGGGCAGCCTGCTTCTCCCTCTCCTTCTGCTGCTCCCCTTGCTTGTGCTCTTTCTCTGTCAAATGAATAAATAAAATCTTGAAAATCTTAAAAAAAAAAGAAAATTTGGGAAGTAGCTTTAATTACATAATTCAATAAAATAAGCAAAAATTCATTGAATTATTTAAGTCCAATATTCGACATCACTAGCAAAATCCTTCCTAAGGGACTTTGCTTTGTAGCCGCTATATTAAAGGATACCAGGTTTCTAGAATGCCAGGGTAGCTTACAAAACAGAACAGAGATCCCATCAGCTCCTTGTGGCACATTCTGTGACTGCACCAGTCAGAGCTGTCCCTTGATCTGTCCTCTCTAACCACTCAATGTACATTTATTCCTTAAAAGAAATGCACTAAAAATCTGAGGCTCATTATATTATAGTGGTATAAATAGCATTGTGCTTATCATCAAAGCATCAAATCAGAGCTTCATAATAGGTGCTATTTTATTTTAACTGTTTTAAGCAGCCTCACCTCCTACAGCCCAAGTAATCTAGCATTCGTAAACATCTTCAGCACCCCATAGGAGCCTTCCAGTTCAATAGGTGATCTTCAGTCAGGTGTCATTGAGATAAATGGAAACAAATACTTACATAGCATCTTGCAGCTTCCATCTTCAGGAAGTTCCACCGATGAAATTAGGTGATCCAAAAAAAAGTTTCTGAGATTATCAACTATTTAAATTATGCCTCAGACTACCCAAACTGCCAGATGATTGAGAGCTAAGGCATATCAAAGGAGTTCAGCACATTGCGTCCAGGTTCAGATAAAGTCTAGCAAAGAGTGGTGACAAACGCATGCTTGGGAGTGATAAGGCCTGTGTTTGCATCCTGGCATGGATGCTGCCCTACGAACTGTGTTAGTGTCCTATTGCTGCTGTAGTAAATTACTGCAAGTTTAGTGGCTTAAGACAACACAAATTTATTATCCTACAATTCTGGAAGTCACCAGTCCTAAAGTCAAGGTGTCGGCAGAGCCACATTCCTTCTGGAGACGCTAAAGGAGAATTTGTCTCCCTGCCTTTTCCAGCTTCCGGGAGTACCTGGAATTCCTTGGCTTGTGTCCCCTTCCTCCCATCCCATCTCTAAAGCCAGCAACATAGCTTCTTCAAGCCTGTCCCTCTGTCTCTCTCTCTCTCTGTCTTTCTCTTTCTCTCTCTCTCTATCTCTCTCTCTCTCTCACACACACACACACATGCACATACACACATTTTCACATCCACTGTAAGAAGTGGTTATCACAATGTAGACACACAGATTCCGGAACCCAAACTTTCATATGCCTAAGAGAATCTTTAAAACTGGGTTAAGAAGATCAGCAGAGCAAATATCCCCTTCCATGCCAAGATATGCCCCCTTCAAAGTCCATATGGAACAGTGAGACCCTTTATTTCTAAGTCTTAACTAAAGTACATATGTGTACAACACACACACACACACACACACACACACTTGCTAAAATGCAATTTGCCTTTCTCCAGAAAGTAAAAGGCTGCACCCATCCTTCTATGCTTTTGAAATTGTCGTCCCTAAGGACTCTCTCAGCTTCAAAGCTTACCATTCAACTTCCAAGCCACCCCCTTCATCAACGGGGGAACAAATAGAGCTTTTTGTGTGTGCCAAGCATTTGTTTCACATTTGCTGGGCAAATAACAAAGGAACAGAGAGCTCAGAACCAACACAGGAAGTGCCCAGGCCAGTTTGGAGAGGCAAAGAATGTTGCTGAGCCAGGTTTGAATTTGCATTTCACTCTTTTAGTAATTCATGTATTCTGAATGGTGAGAAGCAGATATGGAATTAAATTAATACTCACCACTTATTATTCTGTAACAAATGTACTTCCTATATACGAGTAGACAGTCCTATATAATTTGCTTCTAAAAGAAGTATAGGAGCAAGTGACTAATTCCTAATTGTTTGTACAATTAGTAAAAAGACATATATGGCATTCCAGAGACTGTTATCCATTTCCTTCCTTCTATTATAAGGAAATCTTGGTGGGCCTAGAATCTCTGCCAACACAATAGTGGCCTGGAAATTTCTGTTTAAACATTCAAAGAATATGAAATGTGTTACATCCTAGCCTATTTTGGCTGCTTGCCATGCTTAAATTTTACACACCAAGCCAGGCAGCTTAGCTCTAAAAGCCATTTCTTTCCCCCCCACCCCACTTTGAGGTGCTTGCCGGCCACAAAACACTGCTCATATCTCAGAGCATCTTTGCCCTGGAAAGTGGCTCCCATCTCCTCAGGAAGACTCAGATGAGATAAGCTGATGCTTTCAGGCCATTTTCTGATATATTTACTTCATAGCATCCTCTATAGACCAATATCTCTGTCTCATTCTCTGTTTTATTCCCAGTGGTGTCTCTCCTTTCTGTCAATGTACGGGTCTGCTTCTTGCCCAAAATAGAAAAAAAAAAAAAAAAAGGGAGACTAGGAGGAGCTCAACAAAAAAGAAAGAAAAGCATCACAAATTGGCCACCAAAGAATTTATTGAGTACCTACTGTATGCCTGGCACTTTACACAGTCAATATACAAATTAGATAAGTTAATCTTCATATCATACCTAAACGACTTAACCTGCATTTTTCAGAGGACGAAACTGAAACTCAGTGAAGTCAAGAAACTTACTCAGAGTCACACAGCTAAGCAGTGGTAGAGCTAGGTCTTTCCACTTCCCCATTAACATCCAACCACTGTGATTTGTAATTGAAATCAGAAAACAAGATTATTGAGAATACAGCCTAACAAACTATCTTAAGGATCCTGTAGGGGTGGTTAGCTCATGAGGACAGTGTGGTACTAAAGAAATCCAGATTGTGAGCTCCACTGAGCCCTGACCCCACCTTGAGTTTAAGCAGGAAGCATATGGAAAGAGTGCTGAGATATCAACAAAAATCCATTCCTTACCAAGAGGATAAGCCAAGAGGTCAGAGAGGAAGAATGGTGCAGTCATAGTTGTGGATGGTGCCAGAAAGGGTTAACACCAGGATTTCTCTGTCACTTTGTTGACTTTCCTAAACTATCTGGGTTAAGAGATCCCAGGCCAGGAAGCCACCAGGCCAGGCCAGAAGCCAGCTCTTAGGTGCTTGAGCTGGTGGAGAGGCAGGGCTGGAGGGACCTTCCCTAATTGAAATTTTCCATTTCTCATGATGAGCTAGTCACACCCTGGTGACTTGCACTGTAAGAGAAAGAAAGATGAAGAGTTACAAAGCTTGCCTTTTGCATTCTCATTTGCCTACTTTACATCTGAACAAATTATTTCTGCCTTCATTAGAGTATATAATACAATGTAATCAACCTGCTAGGAAGTTAAAGTGTAGCCATTTTATGGTTTGTTACATTGAAATTTAAATTTGCATATTAAGCAGCAAAGGCATTAACATGTGTACCTATTCATCAGCTATGGATTGTAAAATACTTCTCTGGTGTGAGCCCAAATAGCAAGCCATTTTCTGATTGAACTGCTTAATTAAATAAAAGATGATTAGCAGCATCCCTTTATATCCTGTATACTTTAGTAGTTTGAAATTTAAAACACAAAGACATTAGAAACTTTTCCAAATCTTCCTTATAACTGTTTTGCAAACATATCTCTGAATATGGTAGGCTCGTCTCTGGAAAAACGGTGCTGTAAAATATATCTCTCTATAAATAAGGCAAAGCAATAAAGTAAATAGTACCTGAATTCATATTCGATTTTATTATTTTAATTTTACTTAAACTTTCATCACTGGTGAGGTTGGTCTAAGTCTTATTTTGTGTACTGTGCCAAAATAAAGGAAAACAACAAACTTTTTAGTCTAAATGCAGACCATCTTTAGAAATCATTGGTGAGCTAACTTAATTTGATACTTCTTTTTTTCATTAGTTTTTGATGTAGTGTTCCATGATTCATTATTTGCATATAACACCCAGTGCTCATCGCAATATATGCCTTCCTTAACACCCATCACCAGGCTAACCCATCCTCCACCCCCCTTCCCTCCGAAACCCTCAGTTTGTTTCCCATGGTCTGTAGTCTCTCATGATTTGTCTCCCCCTCTGATTTCCTCACCTTCATTTTTCCCTTCCTTCTCCTAATGTCCTCCATGCTGTTTCTTATGTTCCACATATGAGTGAAACCATATGATAATTGTCTTTCTCTGCTTGACTTATTTCACTTAGCATAATCCCCTCCAGTTCCATCCATGTCAGTGCAAATGGTGGGTATTCATCCTTTCTGATGGCTGAGTAATATTCCATTGTATATATGGACCACATCTTCTTTACCCATTCGAAATGGGCAGAAAACATGAACAGACACTTCTCCAAAGAAGACATACGAATGGCTAATAGACACATGAAAAAATGTTCAACATCATTAGCCATCAGGGAAATTTCAAATCAAAACTACACTGAGATACCACCTAACACCAGTTAGAATGGCAAAAATTAACAAGGCAGGAAACAACAAATGTTGGAGAGGATGTGGAGAAAGGGAAACCCTCTTACACTGTTGGTGGGAATGCAAGCTGGTGCAGCCACTTTGGAAAACAGTATGGAGGAGGTTCCTCAAAAGGTTAAAAATAGAGCTACCCTATGACACAGCAATTGCACTACTGGGTATTTACCCCAAAGATACAGAGGTAGTAAAAAGAAGGGGCATGTGCCCCCCAATGTTCATAGCAGCAATGTCCACAATAGCCAAACTGTGGAAGGAACTGAGATGCCTTTCAACAGACAAATGGGTAATTTGATACTTCTAACCTACACTACAACTACAAAATCCTTCAGCACCCAACTGAAACTTATTTTTAAAAAATAACTTCAGAGCAGTGAGTGAGTTTATCTTAACCTTTTCCATCTCTGATAGTATTGACCACAGGCTTAGATCTCCTTGACCTGAGTGAACCCGTCTCTCAAACCCAAACCAAAGCCAAGAAGTTGGAGGCCTCATCAAAAACCTCATCCCTCAAGAAAAAGGCTGATGGATCTGATCTCATCAGTGCAGATGCTGAGCAGAGAGGCCAGCCTCTCCGAGGCCCAGAGACATCATCCTTAGATTTAGGTAAAGTAATAGCATGTGTCGGCTGCTGCTGGCCCTTGCCTTAATACAAGGAAGTTCAACAAATGACATGAAAACCATGGGCAAAGGAGTAGAAAAGATTAATTCCATGAAGGAATATGGACAGCGTACACTTCTTTTGTGCTTGAATTAAATAGCATTTGGGGAGCTCAGTTTTGTATAACTGATGTGGGTCCATTCATTTATTTATTCAACCTACCTGTGTTGAATTCTTGACAGATGGCAGGTGCCCTATGAGGCACTGGAGTTACAAGTAAGAATGAGACATGAATCTTGCTCTCTAGGAGCATTTAGTCTAGAGTGGGAGATAGCCAGTCAAGAGACAGAAAAAGAGAGAGGGATAGAACAGCTTTAACACAAGGTCCAGGAATAGCCAGCCAGAACATGTAACATGCATGGGGATATATCTGATACAATAATAACAGCTACCATTTATTAATGGCTTATCACGTCCAGGACTATGCTACATGATTCACATGCATTAGCCCATTAATTCAGCGAAAACTTAAAATTTAAATAACTTGCCCAAGATCTCAGTTAGTATGAGGAAGACCTAGAATCTGAGCATGTTCTGATTGACTTCCAAAAGCCCATACTTTTATCTATTATCCATCTTCCTGAGAAAGGAGAGCTTAGCTTCATCTCATGGAACCAATCAAATTATGGTCTCCTTTCTCAGGAGAAAGAAAAGTGGCAGATAATTCAGAAAGCCAAGGGCAACATGTCCCCTCTCCCCTGCCATGTCCCTCTCCAAGGCCTGTCTCTTTAGAGGAAAGCTTTATAACTATCTCCAATACTTCCTCACTATCAATGTGTTCTAGGTTTTTTTCAGTTGTACAGATGAATAATGAAATTTACACACTTATATAAGGATATATTATTAAATGCATTACAATATAACACAATAAACTTAAAAGTGAAACTTTCATTTCTCTCCTTTTGAGAAAATGTCCTGTGAAGAAGTCATAAAAATACTTAAAGAACTTTGGAGGACACTGACTGCAAACCTATCTTTTTAGAAATGAGAAAACTGGCCCCCAAAGTTGTTTAAGTGATTTATTTACAGTCACACACCTGTTAATGAGAGCAAACCCAGCCAAATTCCTTATCTGTAAGAATTAAACCACAGGGAGAAAATGGTTCTAGCATTCTCTTGGCTTTCTCCATCGCCTCCTTTCTATTCCCATTATTCATTGCCTCGTTTGATGAAAAATTAAGCAGTTTTACAAAAGCTGTGAAAAGTGTTCCATTTCCTTCTCACCTCCTTTTAACAGTGAGGTTCATCTCTTTAAACAGAATTTCTTTCTAGAAACATGCCAGAAGTGCCTCAAAGCCACCTCCTTAGCTGGAGGAAGCTAGAATAGTACTCCGTATGTTCATTCCCATGGGTTTCCATGGATTTAGACACAGAATTCAGAATGCACATAGTTCTTGAAATAAATTCAGGTAAACAATTTGATTGTTTAACTAAAAGCAATCCAATTTCTTTTACTAGGTCTCATTTTTATTTAGCTAAACATGTTTTAATTGATTTTCATGAATCTTAAAAAGTTGGTCTTGGGTTTAGGAGCATCAGCTGAGTGAAGTTCACTTATATAAGATTTCTTAATCTTAATTTCTCTTCTTCTCTCTGCACCTCATAATCCACTGTTCCCATTACCCCTTTCCTATCTCCTTCATAGACATTCAAACACAACTGGAAAAATGGGATGATGTTAAGTTTCATGGAGATCGAAATAGCAAAGGGCATCCAATGGCAGAGAGAAAATCATGCTCATCTAGAACTGGATCAAAAGAACTCTTATGGTAAGATATTTTAATATCAGAAAATAGCTAATGGTGTGTCAGCTGTATGGGTATTTCTCCTGGGTGCTGAAATAGCCAATGAGTTAAGTCCATCCAAATACTTGGTGCCATATATAACTATGTATCAATGTTAATTGTTATGGCTTCTAAAACTAAGTATTTCATCTGAATTGTCAAAAATTAAGCCAAAAATGATTTGGGTAGACTCATAATTCAGTATTCAATATTTGTTCAGTATTTGTTGATAATTATTTGAATGTGTAACTGAGCTGATCAATAAAAATAGGTTTATACATGTACGTACATATATGTGCATATTCAATATATTACATGAATGGTAGTTAAAGTAAATGTTTCTGGTTACACAGGTCACCTTTTCTGACTATCTTAATCATCACTGTCAGATTAATGCACTAATTGAGAATAACCTGTGGATACCCATGAAAAAAATTGGCTACCTGAATTTTACCATGCTTTTCGAGCTTCCTAAAGGGCAGCATGTCTCATTCTTCTGTTGCCCCTTGCACATCTCCATTTATTATGACAGTTCAAGTTCTATATAAAGATCAAATCACACCAGGAACACTTTGTGAGATGCTCCCCTCCCCAAAACACAATGCTTTCAATAAAGCAGAACTGTTGGTAACAAAACTGGGATTGCATTTATTTACTGTTTGTACATAATTGAACCGAATTCTAAATCAGAGATAATTACAGTTAGCACATTGAAACCCCTTAAATTTCAAAAGTGGTCATTGTAATAAAATTATTATAGAAGTTATCTTTTTCATCAAAATTCTGATAAGAGCTTAATTATCATGGCTCTCAAAGATTCAAATGAACTAGGTTTCTTGACTGGTTTTCTAGCTGAGTTTGTTTCTCGGTATGCATTGATCTCCTTTATTCATCCCCTATAGGTCCTCAGAGCACAGATCTCAACCAGAACTAAGCAGTGGGAAAAGTGCCCTGAACTCCGAGTCGGCTTCCGAGTTGGAATTAGTGCCTCCAACACAGGTAAAAAAGAAAAGAGAGAGAGAGAGAGAGATAGGTTTAATGAACCCACCTTTTTTTACTTTTCTTTTTTTTTTTTTTAATTTAGAGAGAGAGTGTGTGTGCGAGTGGGGGTGGGGGGCAGGGGAAGAAAGAGAATCCCAGGCAGGCTCCACACCAAGCAAGAAGCCCAAATGGGGGCTCGACCTCACAACCCCGAGATCATGCCTGGAGCCAAAATCAAGAGTGTGATGCCCAACTGACTGAGCCATGCAGGCATCCCAAACCCACCTTTTCGAATAGATAATTTATATCTTAAATATTTTATTTAGATTTTCACAAAAATTTTGAAGTATTTTTCTATATTCTGTATTTCATATGGTTTCTCACTCAATAATCTGTCTCGAAGCTTGAGATAACTGATGATATATATTTTTTATACATATATATTTGGCTAGTTAACTGATGATAAATATATATATATTTGGCTAGAACATGTCTTAATGAATTCACTATATATTTAGCACTTTTTCTTTTTTCTACCATTTACTTTTCCATCATTTTGCAATACAAAATCTCTCCTACTCCAGTATTAGCAATATTTATACAACAGAACACCAAGAAGAGGAACTTACATATTAAGTGTTCATTCACATGTATGCCCTGTGGACCCAGGTGCTTACATATCAGGATCCTGACTGCCATATTAAAATAAATTTTACGTTAAGGAATAAATAATTACAGTATTAGCAGTAATGATAATACTAAGAGCAACCATTTGTGAGTAGCCACTAAGTATTAGGGACTTTACTATGTGCTTTTCATATGTTATATCTAATACTCAAATAATCCTATGAATTATTATTATCCTCATTTTTTTATTTTTTTTTAAGATTTTATTTATTTATTTGACAGAGAGGGACACAGCGAGAGAGGGAACACAAGCAGGGGGAGCGAGAGAGGGAGAAGCAGGCTTCCCGCGGAGCAGGAAGCCCAACGTGGGGCTCGATCCCAGGACTCCGGGATCACGACCTGAGCTGAAGTCAGATGCTTAACGACTGAGCCACCTAGGCGCACCTATCCTCATTTTTTTAAAGATTCTGTTTGTTTATTTATTTATTTAAGAGAGAGAGCACAAACAGGGGAAGGGGCAGAGGGAGACAGAGAAGCAGACTTCCGGTTAAGCAGGGAGCGCGATGCGGGGCTCAATCCCAGACCCTGGGATCATGACCTGAGCCGAAGGCAGATGCTTAACTGACTGAGCCACCCAGGCACCCCTTATTAGCCTCATTTTAAGGTCCTTTAAAAAGTTTTGGTGAAGTCAAAATCTTTTTTCTGGGGTACCCAACTAATCACTGGTGGAAGAATGGTATGAACCAGACCTGCCTGTCCACTGCTTGACCCTCAACTCCAATGTAACTGGCTTGTCTATAACTAATTATCTCCTTTGGGTAAGACTGTCAAGAAGGCCAAAGTCAGTCTCAACTTTTTTATTCGCTCAAACACTTTATAAGGGTACAGCCTTGATCTAAAACCACAAAGCTCTCTGAAGAAATGTGTCCACATTTATGCAGTCTACAATCTAGTTGAAAATAAGTGAGATGAAGTGAGCAAGAAAAATTTTCTTGAGTTTACTAGATCAGATATTGAAACTAAGAGAGGAGATATGTTATCTGAGGTGAAGTTAAGGGTTAATTATGATAATAGCAAATATTACTGAGTGCTATGATAAAGTCTTCTAATACATGTTAGCTCATTTGATCCTGACAAATGTCTGTATGAGGTAAGTTTATTTATTACCCCTATTTTGTAGATGGGAAACTAAGGCACAGTGACATTAAGAAAATTGTCTATGCACCCAGAACCAGTATGTGGCATAGAGAAGGAGGACACACAGAGATAGGAAATGTTGAGGAAATGGAAGTCCTCTGGAAACTTTTCTAGGCCACTAAGAGAACCGCCCCCTCTCCCCATTTCTATATTCACTGGAGAGGGGTGGACATTACTGCTCCTAGGACTCTGCTGGAAGACAAGTCAACTCACTTCCAGAACAAATAACCCTGGGAAGCTTAATGAATTGTAAATGTAGCATGAAAATATATTTTCAGCCTCTGTGTTCATTCTAAATGTATCTTTTTTTTTAAATTGATAACATTTATTAGAGAAACATTTCTTGTTAAGTGCTTAGAGATTTAGATTCAGCTAAAGTAATTGGTACTGTTTCATAACCTGGATCCTTGGAACAATTTAATGTAGCAATAGAACATTTGTTTCTGCAGCAGGGGGAGATTTGGCACAGGTGGGCTGTTCTACACAATGCTGGAGGGGCAGAGGATCAGCTGGGGTCCTTGGTTGCTGTGGAGACCCACAATGCATTTATCTTATTATTCCAGTGACTGCTACTCTCCTGCTGGTTGTCTGATTTCATCCCACCACATTGTCCTTCCACATGCCCACTGGTGTGCCTTTAAGCAAACACATCGCGCTCTGGACAATTTGTGTGAGATTCCCAATATTGTCCTCCAAAACACAGTTTAAAGTGCACTGTGACAGTTTTCTGTCTAGATAAATTGTAGTGAATCCTTTAGAGGGTTACCAATTATTTGTAAAGAATTTGTCCCTTAATTTGCTTTTTTAAAAACATTGCATGTTGAGGCACCTGGGTGACTCCACTGGTTAAGCCTCTGACTCTTGGTTTTGGCTCAGGTCGTGATCTCAGGGTCATGGGGTCGAGCCCCACGTCCGGCTCCACGCTCAGCTTGCAGTCTGCTTGATAGTCTTTATTGGTCCCCCTCTGTTCCTCCCCTTGCTCATGTTCTCTCTAAAATAAAAAAGTAAAAAATTTTTTAAAAACACTACAGTATGTTTATCAAGATTTGCCTAAACTAGGAAAATTCATAATTCCCTAGTTTTAAGTCCAGCCTATGGTTTAATTAGGACAATATAATGAATTGGGAATTTAATTATTTAAAATACTAAATCACTCAAATAAAACAGCAAGAGAATAGACTGATTAATTGTAATAAAAGACAGAAAGGTGTTTTTACTGTTACAAACATACCGCCCTTAAAAATATATGATCTCTCTAGGTAGATAAGATGATGAAGGTGGTATAAAAATTCAACTTAAAACTGGCTTGCAGGGAAGCCTGGGTGGCTCAGTCGGTTAAATGTCTGCCTGCGGCTCAGGTCATGATCCTGGGATTGAGCCCCGCATCAGGCTCCCTGCTCAGCAGGGAGTCCATTTCTCCCTCTGCCCCTCTCCCCTGCTCATGCTTGCGCTTTCTCTCTCTCAAATAAATAAATAAAATCTTTTAAAAATAAAATAAAATAAAACTGGCTTGCAAACTATTCAAATAAACAATTTCAGCTTACCAAAACTTGTCACTGCTCCACTATCACACAGATGGCTCATGGGAAAATCAAGGAAATGTTTTCTTCTCTCTCAAGCCAACATAAACTATCTCGGGTTCAACAGGTGAGGAGCTATTTACAAGCCTTATTTAAAAATCACATTTCAAAAAAAATCATATTTCAGAATCACAAAGAAAATGGAGTGAATTCCTGTTAGCCCATTTTCTTTTCAAGATGGAGAAAAGGAAAAATGTAGTCTAGTCCTCTTTCAAATAGTGTTTTAAATACACTAATCAGAGTGGCAGGAGATTATAATAAATCATATAATCTCTATGTACTGAAGAATAAAGTTTCTTGACACTTTTGCAACTGTGTAATTAATATTCCGTGGAGTTAATCATTTAAAGGAATCGTACAATCTGAAAAATTAGAAAACATTTGAAGAGTTGAAGAAAAACACAAGTAATGATATAAAATTAGCTTTTTCTAATATATGGGTTGAGATAGTGGTGAGGCAAAAGAAAATGAATCCAGCTTTTGCTGGAAAGTGATGGTTCAAACATTTCTTTGTCCAGTCCGGACACTGGAAGGAAAGCTCCAAGACAGGTTCTTGCCAACCTAAGTTGGACTTAATGAGAAGGTGCAGGAACCAGGCTCTCTAGTACGTGGTCATAGTCATGCAACTCTCTGATTTTGCTGACTTTGGCACAGCAAATGATTCTTTCCATACTGTCATAATTCCATCAAGTTGGCAGCATCCCAAACCAGAACAATTGAGACTTTAAGATATAAGTGCAGATATGTTTTCTAAATTTTTAAAGGAGCAATAAAAGAAAGGCATGCTGATACCTAGCCAATTACACACCTCATGCATATAATAGGAGGTATTTCTAAGATATTTTTGAAATTCTCACAATAATCTTGGGAATTAATATCTCTGTTTCTCACATGAGAAATTCATCTTAGAGAGAATTAGCTAAGGGGCAGAAAAGCCAGCGCTCAAATCATACCCATCAGCTTCTAAAGCCCGTTCTTAACCACATACCACCTCATATCGGCCTCATCAAACTTATTCACCTGAGAGAACTCACAGACCATCTATTTCCCTTCTCATTGCAAACCCTGATTAGTACTTACATTTCTAGGATTAATATGAGTTAAGTGATTTTAAAGAGTATCACTTTCTTCCAGAAACGCTGTAAGATAAATTAGGACTGTTGTCAGACCTTCGGCCATACACAATTTTGTGCCTCCCCTCCCAGATTCCTTCTGAACCTCTAACTCTTTGAAATACTGACGGCTTGCATTTCATTCTATTTCAGTTCAGCAAATGTGATTGAATGTCTACTATCCACAAGCCATAAGTGAAGCAGTGAAAAGGTTAGAAAGAGGAATTCAATTATAAGAAGTATCAAGACCTTTATGTCTATTAGAAACAATTAGACAGTACACTTTCTAAATACAGTTTTGCTTGTTGGAAGGTAGTACAAGAGCCACATCGACATCCCTTTTCCCTTCCTGACCGTACGCAGTGGGCTACCAATGAGGAAAGAAGCAAGCAAAGACGGAAGGAGCAAAGGAAAGGCAACAGGGCAAGAACCACGGGAAGGCAAGGAGGAAGGAAAGAAATCTGAAAGATCACTTTCAGGATAGTAGGCAATCTGCACACAG